AGGTGCCAGTGTTTTGGTCGCATGATAGCAACGTGCCTGGGTCTGCGGCGGAGGAGCAGCCGCAGGACTTTGCAGGAAGGGAGCGGGCTGGGAACGGCACGAATTGTTCTGGTTGCTGCCCACCGCTGGCTTGTAGTACGTTTTTCCTGAACTATAGGCATTTCTGGTGGCTGAAAATGGAAATGCAGAAGTCCTGCCCCGACTTCTGTTTGTACTAGTTGGGTAAATACATGCCTGGATACAACATGGCATAATGCTGGGTCAAATTGCTGGCTGCAGTTTGCTCTGGTTTCTGCATAAAGCCTATTCAGCACTTTACTACCACCTGACCTCAGCTGAGGAGGTAAGAGGTACCTGGGTACCAAAGGGGCCCTTTACAAGGGAGATACTTTACCCAGCAGGAAGACTGCCTAACTTGCTGTTGAGAAAACAAGGAGTCATGTGCTGGAATTAATCCTAGCAATTTCATTGGTCTTTATTTCTCTTTTTCTTGTTACATTAGCGATGTAATTATAATTTCAAGTTTAGGATTTAACTTGTGAACTCTTGGGAGAAAGGAAAGGATATACATTTTTCTAAGTCAGAAGCTAAAGTATTTGTATTTCTATTAAAATTATTCTTAATATGCAGAGCCTATCTCAACACTTCTATATCATAGGGGATAAACAACTGCAAAAATATACAGCATCCTATTTATTTACAATATATATGTACATAAAAATGAAATTTCCTACAATACAACACAACTGCATAGATTTGTCTTCAGAAACATTGGCATGTGTACAATTTGTGAATTCTAGACCTTTCCAGTCCTGTACTTTTTATTAATTCATTATCTTTTTTTTTCACAGTTTGTTACAGAATTCCTTACATTAGATACAAATAAAACATTCTTTGTGTAAGTTATAGGAAATAAGGATTTTCCTGATGCCAAGGGCTCTGGGGAATTGTTTAAGAAAGCACCCTGGCGCCAGGCAATAAAGCCATCTCGTGGAGCTGCTGATGGAGCAGAGTACATTCTGCTGTGCCTTTCTCCTACAGGCACTGGGGTGGGACGGTAGGACTGGAGGTGGGACACCACCGCATGGCAAGAGTTTTGTTTTGACCAAGATGCTCTTTAGCCTTAATGTAAGGTTCAAGCAAAGAAATGTATTCATTTAAAGATAAGCTAGAGATACCATTAACTGTTACTGTTAATACTCAGTATCAGAGAGAGCTGTGGTGCTTACACGTTGTAAGGCAGATGTACAGACACAACCCATGTATCATCCAACCTGCATTTGCACGTGTGACCTATTGCAAGTGGAGCACAAGCTGCGGGTCAGTGTGTGGCTGAGGAAAGGAACCCTCGGGAGCGGACGGGCATCCCCATCCCTGACCTCGCAGGATGAGACCGGCCGTTCTGCCCTGGGCCTGCACACGGGCTGGGCACCACTCGGCCCGTGTCAGCCCTACAAAAGGTCTGTGCCGGTGCATGGATTTGTCATTGGCCCTCTGACCAGGAGCAAGCACCACACAGAGAGGTCACTGCTCCCGAGATACTGTTCCCAAATAACAATTTACTGTGTTTTACTTACTAGGCGTGTTTGCCATCGGACAGAGAAGGGCAGCTGTATTCTGCAACCATAAGGGTGCTTTAAGCTCATGACTATTTTCTTTGCAATGTGCTGTGGACTAGGAGAGGCAGCAAGGCCGCCTTTTAAGTATAGGATTAACTCCTACAATCTTATTAGGAGCCCCTGTTTCTAATTAGTCCTTCCTTGTCCCTCATCACTCAATTGTTGCTATTACGCAAACGAGAATTTTAAAGTCTTTTGTTGTAGTTATTAGGAGCAATTTTGCATCCAGTCTATGACATTTGCAGTGCTCACAATAGTGATAAACTCTCTATGAAAAGAAAGCATGCTACCACCTACTAAGTAGATACGGTACTCTGGACCCTATTAATTTAACAACAGAGAAACTCCTACAGCATTTCACTGTGCTCTTAAAATCCTAGCTAAAATGTGGGACTTGTACATCGTTGGCTACAAGTTCACTATTTCAAATGAACTGAATAACAGCAGTACATTTTACAGATAACCTCATACAAATATTGTCATCCATCACTGATGTTGACAGTTACAGCAGGGTCTATTGCATTCTGTTAAGAATGTATAAACCTGATGAGAAAACAAAAAGCACGTTATTTCACGTTCATTACCACAGACATCAATAAACACATGATTCCTTTCCATAAATATCTATAAATATGATGCCAGTAAATCAGTCTAAGCAAAATTCCCTCTTTTTTTTTTTTTCAGAGACCCAGAAACAAAGTCTGTTTAAAGACTCAATATTTTGGGTATCTATTTTTCAGTATCTAAGATATGCTTTGATGATCCAGTACCTCAGGTAATGTCACTCTATGCACACACCCAGCTCATTTTTCTCCCTATTTATCCAGTAAAACTCCAGTATACAAATAAACTGGGAAAAAGAAGAAGGCAGAACAGCAAAGAGGAGAGAGCAGAATAGTGATGGAGGAGATTTAGGAAGATGCAAGGAGCAATCAGTCACCCAACAGTCCTGCAAGTCGAAGGAAGCTGGGTGCCAAAACTCAGTGGTTGGTATTTTAAACACAAGACTACAGACTATTTGAGGGGGGTGGAGGGGAGATGTTGCAGTTGGTAGCCTGGGAGCCTGTGCAGCAGATCAGACCTCTAGATCCTACCTGGCTATTTGAAAGTCGCTCCCAGGATCTCCTCTTTCACAACCCCTCGATGCAAAAAGCTGCAGTGCTCATAGATCAGTAGTAGAAGGAGGATAAAGGGGGCAGAAAAGCAGGAGAGCCCTGGAGCATTTTGAGGATAACGCTGTACAGCATTCTCAGGTCTGAGTTAGGTTTTTTGGGATGAGATCCAGAGAGATTATAAGGCACCTCGAAACTTGAAATGTGACCCCAGCAAGCTGAGTCAGAAAATGGAGTGAGATGCCAGGCTCCTGCTGCAGCGACCAGGGAGAGTTGGGTGCCTGTGAAAGGGGAGCCACAAACTTACACCCCAAGGCTGGGAAGATGCCTAGAACGAGCTGCGAGGAGATAGGAACCAAGCATGGTTTCTCTCCAGAGCTTGACTAACACCTGGGCTCATAGGCTATGGTATGGACTTCTCTGTGAATCAGGGCAGGGATCCATCCCATAAAGAGACGTCGCAGAGAAAACTGATGACCTGCACCATCACAGGCAAGGGTTTGAGACCAGCCACAGGACAGCATGAGCTGCCTCAGCCCAGGGGTCCCAGGTAGCTCAGCGGTTCGTGTGTTAAATGCTGGGCTGGGGGGTGCTTGGGAGGAAGGACGCCGCACCGGAGACTTTGCTGGGAGCCCGTGCCGCAAGGAGTGAAAGTCCGAAGGGCCAGGAGGAGGACAGACTAAGGGAACCCTGCTCTGCAGTCTAGCAGGTCACTTCATCTGGAGGGAGGAGCCTTCCAGTTTTGTTCTTGCTGCTGGGCTACTCCGAGGACTCGGGCAGCCCACGGAGCCTACTCTGCCTTATTTCTGGATCACAGTGGAGTACTGGCAGAGCTGGGTACCTCACTGCCTAGGCTGAGGTACAGATCTAGAAGTCTGGGTTTAGTAGGTTTAGTTTCTGCAGCGTGAATGCTCTGCACCTCAATGCCCAATTTCCAAAGAAGGCCCCAAACTAACCTCTCTGGATGTTACCCTCAGAAACTAGCTTTCAAGGTCCTGAGAAGTGCTCTGTGGTCTCAACTCTCAGTGACTTCTAGCCTTGTAGGACAAGGCAATGGCAACTGAGGCAATTCAAATAGCTCACAGAAATCCCAAGATCCCGAATTCTCCATCCCTGACCTTAAAAAGAGCAAGCTGCAATGACAGGTTCCCCACAGCTGTTGATAGCCTCCTTCCACAGTTGCAACGGGAGTTGGCAATGAACCAGCTACTGGGAACACGAGGGTCACCGCATACTGACAGGTATGGCTCGAGCACACCGGGGGCATCACTCAGCCCTTGGGCGTGAAGCCGGGCTCCCTTTAGCCATCGGTTCTTTCAGTGGGAGCCGGGTTTATATTATGAGACACTTTTTAGCTCACATGGTGAATGACAGAAAGCGAACATGTTTATGCTGCTGGCAGTGCACTAATAGAAGATGTCTGCTGAGGATGGTTAACGATCACCTGCTTAGCGTTTGAGTCTCTACAAGTAGTTCTCTACACCAGCTATAAGGCATTAGGCAAATACTTATTTTGTGGACAACAGATGCAAGGTACAGCGTTTCGGCTAGTAGTAATTGAATGTCTTTTCTTTAATTGTTATGGAGAATTGATGAGAAATGTAAATGAAACATTCTAAATATAAAAGGTGTTTCTCTTTGTTTAAAGAAATGTTACAGATTTCAACTTCCTTTAGAAATCCAGTAGTTTGGCAGGGTGAGTCAAATCCTGCTCCTGCTGGTGTCAAAAACCCCGCTGACTTCAGTGGAAGGAGGGTAAGACACAAGACAGGAGCCAGTCTCTACAAGGTATGTACACATGAATCCCAGAATGGAAAAGGCATGAGGTATGAATAAATGCGTAGGTTTTGATAAAACTGGAGCTTGCCATTTTTTTTTCTGAGAGAAGTGGGGCATTAGTAAACGGTTTAATGCTGAAGAAAACACAGACTTGCTATGGAAATCTCTGAGTGTCTGCTTCTTTTCAGGCTCAAGTACTCATGGCTTGGGGTCAAGTCTAGTTCTGGTCAGGCTCCAGCTGAAGTGTGCCAGGGGAATGGTGGCTGCTGGTGGTGGCTGTCCTTCTCCTGCTCCCTGCACCCCGTCACAAAGACACACAGGTCTCTTCCCCAAAGCCACAAAACGGCCAAGCCCTGGGGCTGGCTCCCCCACCAGAACATCAGAGAGAAGCAACAGATTTAGGACCTACGCTTATACAACGCTCATTTACGCTCTCGTGGTGCCTTTCATGCCCGTATCCAGAATGCTATACTTAACCCAGTGAGGCAAATGGTGCATGAAACAGCAACAGAACAAACAAACAAACCAACAAACCAGATGCGTACAATTGGAGAGCAGAGTTTTGGCTAAAAGGCGGGAGGGAAGGGTGTGAACTGACATCACTCCAGTTGGGACTGATAACAAGAGGCGCTGCTGCCCTAAAGGAGCAGAGCTTGTGGTTGAAGGGCTAAGGATAATAACGGAGCAATGCAATTCATGGGTGGAAGAGGGGAAACAAATTAATTGTGATGAATTTCTATGAGCAACACTCTATATAGTCTCACAGACAATTAACACAGACTTTACGCTGATCTGATAACTCAATATTAGGGGACAAAGTGATATGCCTGTTGGAAAAACATGTCTGTTTTCTGCAAGAAAATAAACCCATAACAGTATTTTCTGTACTGGATAATCATTATTTGGATTTGATTTGAGTAAACTCACAAAAGATGGAATAGATAACAGAACGGATGGTTGCGATTTTGGTGTGTAGCAAACAGGGGCGTCTTCTTTTCAGAAGGAGGTGCACTTCAGTGGCCTTCGGCACTGCCTCCTGATTGTACCCAGTCATAGATGACCAAGGGAATGCTCACTAGGGAAAACATTATCCCCAGCGCCAAGAAAAGAGAAGCCTGGAACAAAAAGGAGGGAAAATTAATGAATAAAAAGAAAAGACAATTAATTCAAGTATGTTAACTTCTCCTCTTAAGGAGATTTACAAGGTGATGTATCAAAGTTATCAGCTAAAATGGGATAGCACTTCTGGTAAAGGCAAGACCCATAGATAATTAAACAGATTAGCGTCATTAATAATTACTCACTGAACACCAAACCCAATTTTTTTCTCCTTTCAATTCATTTCTTAAACACTGATCATCCCTAAAGAGGATTAAGCGAGTCTGTTTTTAGGACCGATTGGCTCTGCTCTTTTTAAAGCCTCACGGAAATAAGTATACTCTTCCCATCAGATACGTGTCCATCGAAGTTCAGCCCTTTCGTCTTGGGGTCTGTGGATGGAGCCACAGGTGGAACACAGGTTTCCTGCCTGTCTGCTCAGAGCAGGAAGGTCTGACCTTACGATGCTTCCAGTGCACGCCCCGTTAGACTGGGAATACACAGGAGTGTTGCATCTTTTCAGCTGCAGCTCTTTCTGGGGTGCACAGGAAATCTTTCCAAGGCCTATTCCCATCTGCTCATGCATGCCAAAGGGCTAACATTTCAGCTGGCTGCTTCTGGTGGAAGCACCCCAAGTCTGAATTGGGTTCATTAAAACCACGAGGAATACCGCAAACGGAGCGTGTTGCACGCTTCCTGGATCAACACACTGAAACGGAGAAAGCTTGCTGGGCTGAAAGGGCTGCCGAAGGGGGCTGGAGGGGTACCCGCACCCTGCTGATAGCTACGGCTGCTGCAGAGCTGCCGCTTGCCAGCCAGGGGAAGAGCCCCTTGCCCCGCAGAGAAGGGCCCCCCAGAACACAAGATGTCCTGCGTGGTAGGGCCCCGCCACTGGGAGACCCCCAGGGTAAGCAAAGGAGAAAGGCAAGCACGGCTGCCAGCTGACTGAAGCGAGGACGGAAAGTAATGTAAAGAAGCTCACACGTATGTTCAGATTAGGTACGCTTTGCATCTAGCACATTATAAGGAATGACAAGACGAAAGCATTGCATTGACGGGAAAGGAATGCATACCCAAATCCTCAGAGTCAACTTGGATCCATCCTGCTGTGTAATTTTTAAATACAATGATGAAGGAAGAATGAAAATCAGCATATTGGCAGAAGTGACCCCTGCAAAATTCAAATAAGTGAGTTTTGTTAGTTGTCAGCAACTTATTGTGTCAGCATCACAATTATTGTGTTGCTGATTAGCAACAGTCTTTTATTAGTAGTACAAAACCAGGATACTGTACCTACAACTCCAAAAATATCCTTCATGGTCGGGATAAAAATGACTAACAGGTTGATGATAACCAAAAGAACAAAAGTAACCAAAACGTGACGGCATAAGTCAAATTTGGTTTTCCTAGCCAGTTCGAATAATGATGAACGCACCTGTAGAAAGAGAGAGAGTTCTCTTGTCAGGAACAGTCTATAAGCCAATTCAAAGCTTCCCATATTTATTTTAACCAGTTTTTCACGCCGACAGCAAGCGCTGCATAGATCCATCAGAAACTTTGGGGTCTCTGAAGTAGTGCCCTTTTAAATAAACCTTAAAATTAATTTGATATTTCAAAACTGTAGGTATACATGCATCTGCAGTAGCACATTCCTCCCTTTCTGACACGCCTTTTGGGGTCCTTCTGCACTTAAAAATGAACTGCACCTCTGAGCCTGCTCCAGTGAAGGCATGTGAAGTAAGAGAGGGCCCTCGTGGATCCAGTTTAAAACAGATTTAAGACCAAAAGTGATTAATTTATTTCCTGCAGGGAGAACTTCTCCAGAAGTTAGTGGGAGTCTGGTGTGGGAAAAGACTGATGCAAGCTCAAGCTCTTTTTGTAGCTGCAACATCACTGCCACGGCAACTGCTGGACTGTGGTTTGAAGAAACAGTCATTACTGACTTCCAAACTGCGTGGCGCTTTTTACTTACAGTGAAAAACAGCACTGGCACCGTGAGTATCACCGCAACGATCACAGCCAAGCGCACGGTCAGGATGAGGATGTCATCTTTGCTCTCGTACTTGTGAAGCAGATCTGACTGCACATTGTCTATGGAAAAGACAATAAGATAAGTGTTCTGGCAAACAGGCAATCCATTCACAAAAATCATTGTTTAACAACAGCCTTCTTGAACAACAAGTGATTTATCTGCAAACGAAAGAGTATGGAAGGAAACATTCTTGAGTTAAAACAGCGCTTTGAACCAAATCCTAATGATCCCATTATTCCAGATTAATCCTTTGGAGGCCTGATTTAGGACTGCATCCTAATCCAGACAGCACATACCTAAGTCTAAGGTAATTTTCACTGTAGGAAAGACAACAGTGAGACATACACGAAAGTTTGCTTACATATATACGTATATAAAAAAATAAGTAAAGTGAAATAAGCTATTTCTAATTGGTTCCGTGGGCTTTTTTTTTTTTTAAATTTCAAATGATATAAAAATAACCACATGCACTGCAACAGCTGAACTTAATATAAACTACAAAATTTTGAGCTAAATTAGTCTAAACAGCAAATAAACTTCCAGCAAAAAGCAGTGCCCCTGTTCTCAACCAAGAACAAAGCCTGTCTTGGGTCAGCTCTCAGTGGGACGCTCTCACATTCGCACTCAAATCCCTCGGCAGCTTCTCTGAGGGCTGCCCTGATGTTTTTTTCTCTTGAACCTGTCCCCCCCCGACCCCCAGCAGTGCCTGCAGCTCGGCCCCGTGCCGGCCGGTGGCCCTAGCAGCCAAGACGAATCGTGGGGGTTGCCTAATGGGGAGGCACTGGCGGTATTTTAATACGACCTCCTGCAAAAATGTTTCCTTAAGCTGTGATAAATAGTACAGAGTGGGTCTGCGTGTGCTAACCAACAGGAAAACCAAGTTGCTGAGGGACCTGTGTGTTTTCTTTGTAACTTTTAAATATCTAGGAGCAATGACCTAAGGGGGTGGCTGTTAAGCGCGCCACAAAAACATACTCGCTGCCCCTGTTTAGGCTCATGTTTTGTTTCTGCCTGCTAATCTTAGAAAGCTGGTGGTAAAACGTAACAGCTCTTAAACCGAAGTCCTTAAAGGGAACTCGGCAGCCACATCTAGTTTAAAATCTTTAGCACTTGGTAAAACCTCATGTATTCCTGGAGGCAGAGGGATCTGTCCTGCGGCGAAATGCCTGCGCTCCCCCCAGGACACCCTTCTGGGGAGAGACCACGGGTCAACACCACCTACGCAGTGCTTGAATCCCCACCAGGAGAAAGAAAACGCTCTCCCACCTCCCTGCAGATTAGGAGTGGGGTTTTCAAGCCGGGCACATGCACAGCTTCTGCGACACAGAGCTTACTCTGCTCCTGCAAGCACAGACTGCAACTTCTGTACCGCTCACGGGCTGCAGCCAGGTAGGAAGTGAAGGGCAAGGCTTACAGTTGAAGGTCTGTTTTCCTTTCAGCTAGATACACCACAGAGCCCAACCACAGTGTGACCTTTTAGGGGAAGAAAAACACCTCTTTTCTGTAATTCTGCAATGTAAATATAGTCATCACTGCAACACTTTTGAGAATACAGCAAACAGACAAGTACTATTGGTGTAAAGAAGAAATGGCCACAATAAAAATGCTGTTCTTATCCAGGTAAGGGTAGAGAAGAGGGTTAGAAAACTGTAAGTGAACATATGAAAGGTAAGGTCTTGTCAGTCTCAAGGGGAAGAAGGATCAAAGTGGAGGAATTCTATATTCCCTCGGTGTCTTTTTTGCTGCCTCTCATGGCACTGACCCTTGCAGAAGCCCCAGCGGAGCCGCACAGCTTCCACCCGCGGGCTCTCAGCGCTGGGGAACAGGGACGCCTGACATGGGTAGAGGCACACGAGACACCCCAGGGATTTCCTCCGCCGTTCCCCCTCGGGAGGGCCAGAAGGACGCAGCCCCTACCTCCTCCATGGACTCCAGACCCTCGTCCTTGAGGGGCGTGGGAGATTCCCAGAGAGGAGCGCCACGGATCTGCCTCCTCAGATCCCTGGGGCAATCACATCAGAATCTCCTCCCTGCCAAAGTGAAGGGGTCCGTGCTGATTTACACCCACTTGCTCCCTGGGGCTGCTAATTTGATGCATTTCTACGAAAATGCGTTAGATGGGAGCAGTTGGATGAGAATGGCTGTTGCTGTTGTCACTTGCAGAGTATTTGCGGTTTTATTGGGGAAATTAGAACAGATGACCTCAAGTTACTTCAATGCATGCAGACTCAAGGCCTCATAATCAGAATGAGAGCCTGAGAAAACAAATATGAGATAGGTACACCTTTGAAAAAAACCCGGCACATTTCATATTTATTTATTTTCTTTCTCTTGCAACATGTGGCTCACAAGGAACAGTACCAGGAATGAGGAGATTGTAACAAAAAGGTCACTTGGAACAGGGTGAAGACTGATGACCTTTTGGTGACTCTGAGGTAAAAGGCAAACATCAGTTTTGTCATCTGTCTTGTAACCCCTTAAAGGTCCGTGGAAAAAGACACTACTTTTCAACATTCCCATTATGCTGGAACGTGGGAGTAGCTTCCTGGGCAACATTCATATTTTATCCTACTTTACTTAATAATTGTGCCTTCAGGGCATACATGTTGTATCCTTTAGCAATACAACATAATTTGTTTGTTTCTTTAAGTGAATTGATATGCGTGAAAAGAGACAGGGTGCAGGTCTCAAACACTGAAATAACCATCCTTTGGCGGCTGAGCTGGGACGACGCTTGAAGCTTCCCCACCTTCACTGCCAATTTGTTTAACCAAGACCTGACGGGGTCAGCTCTAGGGACACAGGGAAAACATTTCGTCCTTCGCCTCTATGATGAAAGCGTCAATAAGAAAATGAAAAAGCTGTGATGGCTGATTTGATACCCATTTCCTAGGACCTGTTCTCAAATCTGTCTCATTTAATATAGATAGGCACGCTTACACGACATTCAGGTGAGGACCTTGGAACGAAAATCTTAGTGGGGCCCAGCTAACCCCCAACTCCGTTAAATCTCTCCCTCATATTTTGAATACACCTGTTGTATATACTACTTTCACTTGTGCTTTTCATCCGTGGGGGAAAGGAGGAAAGGATGTGTACTTTCAATATGAAAACATTAAGGAAAATGATTTGAAAAAGTATTTTAATATAAGTGGGTGGAACTTTCCTTTCCAGCTGGGATACACTATTGATTTCACATGTATTCCCTTTCTACTTTGGTCAGTAAAGAACTGCATACTTACCGTAGAAAGTCAAATAGCCAAATATGGCAGTCATAAAGTACATCACAAACATGGCAAAAAATGAGATATTTGAAACCAACTGCATTTTTTTCTGTGAACGGCTGGAGAAAGAAGAAAAGAACACATAAAAATGGTTGGGCTGGATTTTTCCATAGCTGTTTAAAAATGTATTAAGTCTTTGCATAAACATTGTAATTCTGGGGAGACTCATGAATGCATTTTCATTTAAAACAGGAATTCATTGACAGCTGCGCAAAGAAGAGAAGGACCGGGAAAATGGACCCTACTTGGGGCTTAAGTTAAGAAATGGTGGGACCGCCCTGCGGCTCTGCTCCCTGGCCATACCCGCCTAAACAGGGTGAAGGGTGAAGCCAAGTGGAGAGGGATGGCCCTTAAACACTTCAGTACTTAAATTAAAAGGCCAAAATAAAGGTAGAGTAAAATTATACACAGGAAAAAAAAAAACATTCTAAATGTTTGCAGAGAAACATTTGTGTCCCCATGGACAGAAAATAATGAATGTATGCAGACCACTGTAGACCTGTAAAATAGGTTAAGTGCAAACATTTCATTTTTAGATATTTGTTCTGAAATAGTCACACTCTGGTACCTAAAGTTAGGCTTTTAAATCCACACAGGGATGCCCTATATAGGCACCTGGGAACCTGCCGGACTCCCTTGAAACTCAAAGGACCCAGCAAGTGACCAGGACCCGAGGGCACCCACGGGTCTGACTGACCCCGACCTCTCCCCTGGGGCTCCCCCCACAGCCCGGGGTCCCATTGCAGCCCCCCAGGGCTGCCAGCGATGCCCCAGCAGGGCCGGTCTCCAGCTCCCCAGAGCCCTGCCCAGCCGGAGGTGTCAGCGAGACAGCCGTACTGGCAAAGGTCTTTTAGTACAGGCGAGGCTGAAAGTGCTTTTTTTTCCTGGTACCGCAACAGATTTTTAGTTGCATTGGAACAAACGCCGTTAGCTGAACACATGCCTCTCGCCTATGCCAAACGACCGGCACAACTTGGCTCTCCCCAGGCTGCTGTGTACTTCCAGAGAAAACTCCCGAAGTATTGCATTATCCTCAACCTCCCTCACCCCCACCCCAGCGGCACGCCTGGGAGGCCAGATTTCCTAGCTGACAGCCACGCTCATTGGCTTGTTGGGTGTTATTAAAGCACATCTCCTCCGAATGGCACGAATGACTCAGAGCACCCCTGCGCTAACATTTTCCATGCAAAGCGGTTCAAAACAATTCACTGGAAAAAAAATAGAGAAAGACTTACTCTTTAAGTTCGCTGTAAATCGGGAGGACTGAAGGGTGGCACACAAATGCAAAAGCAATGGTGGGCAAAGCGTACACGGTCTGTTCGGAGAGAATTTCAGAAAAGAAGTTAAGAAGAAGTATTTCCCCCAGCGGTGTGAAGAAATGATCCGTGTTCAACTACCTCAGCTCCCAACTCTCTTGACTCTTCAACTGAACGTCGGGAGCCTTCAGAGAAGGCAGAAGACCTGTCAATTAGCATGTATTTAATGAAATATGGAGAGCAGTGCTCTTTCAACGGGAGGACAAAGTCTTCACGTTGGTCGTGTGAGCACAGTCCTGACTCTGCTCACAGAGCGCAGCGCTGGATGCCACACAGCTGCTGGTTTTGCTCCCTGGGATGGGTTTCCCTGCCCAGCTACTGCCACCATTACTAGCACACTGTCACATGTAAAAAGTGGATCACCGCTACACTACCCTGCCTTGGCATGGAGAGGGGTGCGCACCCGTGGTGCTAAGGCTGAAGTCCTGAGGAGGAAGCCCATATCCAGACTGTAAGAAAAGAGAAGAGGAATGCAGAACTTACAAATAAATGGATATTTCAAGGTACCAGACTGAGTCCCTTCATTTCCCAGGCCAACAAAAGGGCTAGGAGGGCTGTAGAGGGAGCATGCTTTTCCTTGGGGAAAGAGAGAGACCGTTACGTCACCAGGAACCGCAGGAGGCCTCTGGGGGGGACCTCACCCCCTTCTCCACCAAAAACCTGAGTGGCTTTCAGTCCTCAGCATACAGCCAAACTTCACAAATGATCTCAGCGCCCAAGCGCTTCCATTCTCCCCAGGGAACGGGTTCGAGCAGAGATCACACGAAAAACAGGTCCTCCTGCGAGGACAAAATGAGTTCATCCCTACATGCGGCTCTCTCTGGCCCTCTGAGATCTGCTTGTGCTGGCCACAGGCATCCCCTGCCCACAGAAGATGTCCTGGGGTGCGCCCCAGGCCTGACAGATTCAGTAAATACACTGGTTGCTCTCCAGCAGTCCTTCCTCACCCAGGCCTGTGCCGCTTCCTCTCCCTCACTCACAGCACACTACTGTTGTGGAGTCTCCATCCATGGAGATATTCAGAAGTTGCCTGGACACGGTCCTGGGCAACCAGCTCTAGGTAGCCCTGCTTGAGCAGGGGGGTTGGACCAGGTGACCTCCAGAGGCCCCTTCCAACCTCGGCCATCCTCTGATTCTGTGAAACTGTCTCTCCTCTCACACACCAAAGTTGCTAAATTGATTGGCAAACTGCTGGCCCCGAGGGCAAATCTCTAGAGTTCAGCTCCAGCCTGCCTAGTTCAGATGGCCGACCCTTCTGATGTGCCTCCATCAACGCTGAGGCAAACGCTGACACTGCAGGAGAACAAGACTGCCCTTCAATTCTATCTAAAATATACCTACACGTAAGCTGCTATCGCACACCAAGTTAATTAACTCTTGGTCAGTCACATCAGATCTGGGCTGATGGCTACCCCTGACTAAAGAAAAGTGCTCGGACTGGCTTCTTCAGCTGAAGCTGGTAGGATGAATTTTTAAAAAAATCAATTTTTGCACGCATATGCTATACACACGCATTCCCTATGAATGCGACTCCGACGCCCTGAGGACTCTGCCCTGCTGGATAAGGTGCTGTTTAATGAGCACTGTGCCCCAGCACAGCTGACAGGAGCAGTCTCCTGCTCCTACAGCTACAGCCAGTTGCTCTTTCGCATTCTCTTGGCACAACTTTTCCTGCAGCTGTGTGGTGATGGAGGAAAGCATCCAGCTGAAAGGCAGTAAAATTTTTGCTGGATTAGCTTTCAACTGTATCCTTTTCCTGATCCAGTTCACCATATGGCTACAGAAACACGTACCCTGTCACAAAGAAGCAGTTTGTGTGCAGGACAGAGGGATTACTTCTGGGCTTTGGATGCAGGAATGGCTTACTCAGCCTCTGCTGAACTACAGCCTGAAGGCGCAGTTGCAGCACTGATAGTAAGACGCAGTGGAAAGGAAAACTCTCCCAAAGAAAGCGTTTCTTGTCCGGTGGTAGCTTGCGCTCACAGCCTTAGCACATCTACTACCGGGTGGGCAGAGCAAGACCGCAAGGAGGTACATTCAACACGGCATCTCCATAAGACTGGGCAAGAAGACCCATTGTGCGTTCACCGTTGGAGCACGAGTGGAAGCATGGAGAATCAGGCCCTACATGGTGCTGATTGGATTAAGAACACGGGGTGTAGGTGCATATATTATGTGAATTAAAAGTAAGTATTATAAAAAGAAACATACCTTGGAATTAAAGATAACATACTTTGGCTTACACATATGTTCATGTGCTGAGCTATTTGATAGGATAGATGATGTTGCATTTAGCTCCGATCCGCCACAGGGAATTTGAAACTTCTTGTAAATAACCTAGAATGAGAGCGGAAGACAGCTAATTGCTAAAAATAATAATAAAAAGCAAATTAAAATTAAAACATCAGAGAAATTATGACTATCCTATCAAGTGACTCTCATCCAACAAAGCAAGCAAGCTGAACTTACCACTATCAAGAAAAATACCATGCAGCTTAATGAAAATCCACTGGTATAGCCAAGATACCCTGAAAGAAATAAAAAGGAAATCTCATACAAAATTATTTTATTAGCCATATCTTGGTTTTTACTTCTTTTTGCTGCGTCATGAAAAGTTTAAATGTATTATACATTTAATATGTATCGTGAGCTTCAGGGCAGGACAAAACCATGTCCTGTTGGTGTGGGAGTCTCCCACGTCGCAAGCCTCCCAGCTTTCAGACAGACCTGAGCTTTGCTCTGACCGGCTTGACTTCCCGAGGGTCACCTTTACGGCAGTTTAACTAATTCTACTTTTGAAAGGGGCTGTGATAATTGAAACAAACCTGATAATGTGCAATTGCAATCAGAACGTGACGCAGATTCCCTGATACGAGCCACGTCAGCTGAGTATGGGTTATTTTCTCAAAAGGAAGACACCAACAGGACTTCAGTGCCAAAACTTGTTACATGGTTTTAAAAAATACATTGTGTACCTACTGGCATCTCTGTGGACTCAAACACATTTGAAAATGCAATCCTCCATGCACATCTTACTTCGAAGTCCAATACCTCCAATTAACCTCACAACTAAAAATTTTGATGCTGATAGAAAAATAAGTTATTTTTTGTAATCTCACAATTTGTGAACTTATTTTTACAGGCTACACATAAAATAGCCTTATGAAATGAAGACCCTCTTAACTATAATTTTTTAAATGAATTTCCACAACTGTATGGATGAAGCTCGTTTATGCTGAGTTCAACCGCTGTGACAATTTAGGCCTACTTGTTCCAAGATGCTCAAAACACAGCTTATTCCTGGACCAGAGAGGCTGCTTAGATTACAATGAGAGCACTTTTTTTTTTTTTATTATAGTTGAGTTGCCAGCATGGCTGTCAGTGGCATGATATCTGGGCCCCTTTATTTTATTCCCACAATGGCATTTGCATCTTACCTAAGTTGTTAAGGAGACATAAAGGGAGGATTATACCAAACGTGACTGTGACAACAAGAATCCGCCCATCCACGTACCATGCCCTGCATAAAACATTAAAAAAACCCACCATGAGCACACCTTAAATCCTCTCTGGTTTTCCTCACACTCAGTCATCCTCTTTGCTGCAGTTACAGAACTATCTTTGGTCTCCTACAAGCTCCTACAGAAGGAGAGATGGGGGCCACATCTGAACTTTGTAGGCTCATTAAGTATCTAGCCCTTAAAACGTGGTGCTGGTCTGACTCAGATACGGCAGATTTTCATAGTCACTAGACAAAATATCACCCTACTGCTGAGATCAGTGAGTGGGACTGAGAGGCAGAACAACACCCTCCGTAACCTGATATAAGCCACCCTGCCAGGATGAGGAAAGATCATGCAAAGGGCCACACATACAGCACAGTGGGGCCGGGGGGGGGGGGGGGGGGGGGGGAGGGGGGGTACCATGATTCGTTTGCTAAACCACCCGGGCACGTGCCTGGAGCGGCAAACCAGGCTCTTGCAGGCTGGCACGCACTAGCCAGCCCAAGGCTGTATCTCCTTCTAGCAAAGTGCTTTGAATCCTGCTGGAAAGCAAGAAAGGGGAGAAGGGAGAGCGTTAGTGACGTTCTGTATGACCTATTTCCACTGCTCGGTCCAATTTAGTATGAAAGCCTGAGGAATGGGATCTCTACCTTCTTCTCATGCACTACAGCACACCATATAACCCAGTGCAAAGGATATTTACCACTATAAAGAAATACCACCCCTCTGTTAAAAAGGTTGGTAAATGTCAAGGAGTGATAAGTGGCAGAAATCTAAGTACAATATTCTGCTGTTGTCATATGCTAGTATCGAAGAATTTCATACTACGGACAGTGCTTCAGGGGCAAAATCCTGCAAGATGCTACGAACGCAGGGAAATACATAATATCTTAAACTTGCATTGTTCCCAATATCTTCAAGTATTGCCTAACACTGTAAAAGGTTGGATCCTATGAAAAGAGGTTTGTATAAATCACAATTCTGCATGAAAATCTGGTGTGTGAAGAGAGTAACTGCTGATGACTTAACCTTTGATTTCCTATCCATCTTCTTTTCCTTTCCAAAGTTGTCTTGGTTTTTATTGACCCCCTGAGATACTCCTGTGAAAATATACTTTGACAAACCTAAAGAGTATCCAATACTTAAGAGCTTTTATAAACATATGCTTAAACTTGTCTACACAACATTAAATTCTATAATCTAATCACCAAAATGAATTCAACTTACGAAAAAGTTTCTTCTTCTCCCATTAGAAACTTTATGGCAGAAGGCAGCTCATTTTTGACTATGAAGAGATAGCTCAACATTGCTGGAAGAAGAAGAAAGTCAGTTTAGAAAATGGGTAAGATATTTTGTGGAATAAGTACAGAGAACATCCTGAACCTTTTCCCACATCAGCCTCTGATGACAGAAGACCCCGAACTATAATTGGCTGTGAACTACTGATCATTCAGTAATACACCATTTTTAAAGGGCTGCATGCAAAGTGTTAGCCACAGCTATATTGAGCAGCATGAAGATCCCAAGATGTCACCGAGAGAAAGAGGAACCTGACTGGTTGGTAGCCATAACATCAAGATGTTTCCGGGTTTTGTTTTTCAATACCCCTCATCTCCTTTACCTCCAACGTTCTGGAGAGATGTAGATCCAAAGACAATCATTTTCCCTGGGGTACCGAAGACCTGCTCACCCAGCTTTTCATACACCATGCAGCCTGCATGAAAAAAAATGAGGAGAAAGGTAACAAATACGGCAGCGAAAGCTGTTGAGTTGAAACACTTATGATTCCTTTTCAGCTAACCACCCATCTGTGCAGCCATACCTGCCCTTCGCAAGTAAATAGAGAGCTCTCTTGTAATTGCTAGGGCTGAAACTTATGTAGGAATGTTTTCTTGACATCTATAAATGTTATCGTTGGCTACCGGTCACTTTTGAAATTGAAGCTCTTAATGAGGTTATTACACCCCTTTAATGAGTCTGTCTATATCCCTAGTGACATGTTAAGTTCTGGTATCCCCATCCTGGCATATTAGGTTTGCGCCCGCAATGAGCGTGACATAGAAAGCCTCCTCTCCAGACAAAACTCGGTACAGCAGGATCCACAAGTCAGCACTGGCAGCCTGGCCACAGCAGACACAGTACCACGATTCTGCAATTTCGCTTGCTTTGACTAAACGATCCAAATGAGGGCAGCCACTGGTTTACAGGATGATTTACAATTTCTAATGACGAAGCCTTAACTTGTGAATTCTCAGTGTGGTGTGTTTTTGGTAAAAGCAGGGAAAGGTGTAAATTAACTAAAACTTCTTTTTAAATGCCTGTCAAGCTTGAGAAACTCCTCCATTAATTGGTTTGTGTTTCTGTTTAATGTTTTTTCCTTGGCTGTGATTTAGGCTGAGAAAAAGACTGGACATTGTGAAGATGGTGACATACATGAGAACAGAAAGAGAAATACTGCAGATGTCACACTGTACAGATGATTTTTAAAATGCATCCCATTGTTTGGTTTTCTCTGTATTTCCTTATAGCTGACATTTCTGCTTTGAAGCTTGTATAAACAATAGGTTTGAGCTTAAATGTACCAGCAGCATAGAAACCTAGGGCTTAGATTTTGGGAACCGGCAGGGCAGAAATGTGTCCAAAATTAGGCATACCTACCTAATTTAAATAGGCAGTTGCTGCCATTATACATGCTATAAAAATAACTCATATGTGTCCAAATTACATACTAAAATACTACAGTGTTCTTGTGCACAGACAATTTAAAAAATCTGGCTTCAGAGATTGTTACCCAAGGAAAGAGACTCGTGGACTTCAGAGCACAGTGACATTTAACACTGTAGGTAACTTCTAATTTCTGTGTTTAGAATATATTTTCCTTACAGATACACTTCTCTCTGTGGAGGAACTGTTCCCTTTTATTTTCTTCTAGGAAACCTCCTACTATACCACAAAGGCTATCAGGAATTTCACCCTAACCATTAAGGATAAACTGTATTTCCAGGTAAGCTTCACCATAGGCAAAGATTCATTAGATTTCATCTGCAATTGGTTTTGTAACGCAAAGAAATTATATGAGCTGTTCCTTTCAGCTCACTGAAGACAACATTTCATGCTAGCAGAATTCACTCTTTGCCATGAGTTTTTCTCTTTATAGTGCTGGTCAGATGCTCTTCTCCATTGCCATGATGTAAATTCTTGTTAATTCTGGGATTCTGACCCAAAATGTGTTAGGCCTTTCTATTGTGTCAGCAAAGTGATAGAAACTCTGTCTTACACAAAGCACCTGGCCTTATCTGAGTATTTTTCACCTCTCGTTCTTTACAATTCTACTGAAATGGTGTAATAACATCTTAAATTACCTGTTTCCTTTGAACACACCAACAGGAGATATATTGAATAAATAGACAGCAGTGTCACTGAAACCAAAAGCAGCCTATAAAAGAATAGAAAATAAAGCTTACTGTAAGAGCTGAGCTCTAACATTGCAATATTTCGTGTCAGGTTGTATTCCCGTTGACTCTGAAATAATTTTTATACTCTTCTGACAATGCAAAAAGCCCTAAAATACATGTGATTTACATGCTTTTTGCAGCTCCACCACACCACTATAGAGATAGAAAGCCCTGCGTGCAGAGGGATTCAACCAAGTAAAACTTAGCAGAGCTGAAGAGCGCAGCCTGTTAGTGAGTTACACCCCCCCACATTGAAAGAAGCAAGAATGAAGATGTTTTTTCAGGTAGGAATTAAGATTTAATCAGAACAGGGATGAGCCAGGTATGTCCCTCACCACCCACTCTAAAGCTTTTTTTCTGGAAGCAGAGTAAAAATTTCAAAGGGAAGTCCTCTATTTAAAGACTTCCATACCAAATGGAAGGATCTTTTCCCAGGTCATGTTTCATATGCTACCAAAGGGGTGCCCAAATGGCTTTTTATGTGCCTCCCAGTGCCCAAGGAGGGGGAAGAGGAGGGAAGTTAAGGCTCGACTGGCTTCCCTTGGGAATAAAGGCAGAAACCAAAGGCTTATACTTTGTCCAGGTGGGGACTGGTGTTCCCTCACTGATGTCACTCTTGGTCTGCCGTGATCCATAATTTGACTTAACGTAGAAGAATTGCAGGAAGTAATGACCAAACTGTTTGTGTCGGGAACTTGCTGGCACAAATGATAATTAGTCAGTGCCGGGGGCTAAGTGCATAAAAACACATTTGCTCATTGCTCTATGTCTTTAAGCCAAGCACCATGTGTGCCTTCCCCTCCAACACTCTGACACATAAAGACCTGATGATGTTTTCATGATGTGTGTGAAGAGCACTCAGACAATCTGTTGGCAATTCCTCTCTTTATTATGACAACTACCCTCAGGACACTGAGAAAAACAAGCCTAAAATTTAACAGAAAACAAGCTGCTGCCATAGATAGGCAGCAACACATCTTTTTCATGGGAATACATAGAAAGAACAGGATGAGAAGCTCCCTCTCCCCACTTTTTTATTATTTTAGACTAGAAATACTTTAGTGCCAAATAATGACCCACAAGTTTCTTGGGGCCAGAGGAGCATGGAGAAACATAAAGAGGTGATAGGAGGAACTGCTTTTTTGCCAACAAAGTATGATGGCTGACAATAACAACACACTCTTTGTACAGCCCAAAGGGTGTTTCTCCTCAAGGAGGTGGAGAAGGGAAGGGAGACTGTACTGGCTGAGGTCACTCTGCTCCATTTTTTACAGATTTGCTAAGCCCTGCTCCTGCCTGAGTTCCCTGCAGAGCCGCTAAGCCCCTGTCTGCCTGGGGGCATGGTGCTCGCAGCCCCCCGTGCTCGGCTGCTGGGCTGACTCACTCCCAGCCCCAAATGGCTCCAGCTCCGCATGCCAGCATCAAGTCTATTTTAATATTAAAAGCTCCCGTTTTTCAGGCACTGAGCTCATGGAGTCTTTGCAGTGGTAAAAATAACACTCCCAAGCAGCCAGGTATTTATCTGATCTGTTGTCCTTAGCTCCCCATAGGGTTCTTACACAGACACTTGGCATTTTCATTAGCGCTGTATGAAAAACTTGTTTGTGTTAGGACTGTGGTATGGACAAGGATATTCATGCCAGAACCACCCCTTGGAAAGGAATGAAAATGTCCATGCCACTCGCTCTGCACAAATTCAAAACAGAAGCAGGGGAGCTTGTGCTGCAGTCCCAAAAGCACTCCCCTACTTTTTAGTTTGCCTGCTTTTAAAGAAGTGCTGGCAGCTATGCAAGCAACCAGCACATGCAAAAGTCACCTCCCTCCAACAAATCCCGAATAAACAGTTTAGGGCAGGGGACTGATACGATGCTGGGAAGAGCAAACTGTTCCTGTGATGCCACTGCTGTTTGCTCCCAGATGCCACATTACCAGGTCAGCTGAAACATGTGCTGTCCCCAGCCCTCTGTGGAGTCCCAGGCTTTGGGACCAGAAGACCTGTGAGGCTCATGCAGTCACCTGCCTTACTGCACAGAACAGTTCTGAACCCTCATAAGGTATGGGGTGCAGAAGAGCATGGCAGAGCATGGGGTTTGCCACCGTACGGCTTCCCAGGGGGCTGGTCTGCCAGCGTGCCCTAAACCTCTGGAGGAGTTAGGCTGTGGCTTTGTGACTGCTTCCAGTTTACCCTAGCAGAAGTGGCTGCAGAAAGCAGTGTGAAACTTCAGTTGTAATCTCATACTATATCTCATCTAACAAGCCTTGTGCATCAGCACAGTTTTTCAGATCATGTGCAGTACCAGGCTAAATGGGGCTGAAGGCACCTTGCACTTGGCCGGCTCATATGTCTCTGCAACGCAATCCATCGCTCCGGTGCCAGGTCTCCAGGATGAAACCACAAGCAGGGTGAGCTAGTTCCTGCCATCCCTAGGTGGCCTGGCCCATCTCTTACTTCCCAAGCCTTTTGTGCCATCTTTCTGCAGCAAGGTTTTCTCCCCTTTTGCATACAGGAAAGGATGCTCTTCTTTGGTCTAGGCTATAGTTATCAACAATACTGGGATTAAGTTCCTCTGAGTTCCTTCCTCAATTGTTTTGTCTAAAAAGCATGACACTTTGCTACGGCACTACCTTATGCAAATAGGATGTGAGAGTATATACTCATTGCCATGTTTATTTTGCATGTCTTATGCCAAGAATATAGGATCTGAACTGATCCAGGTGTGCACAGCAGTGCATACTTCACACTGCAGGAGCGTAAAAGTTGTGAGAGTGGGAATCACGCCAGGTCTGCTTTGTTAGTGCTGAAAATGCTCCTTTAATTTTTCTGCCCTGGCTTTCTACTTTTCAGAGATGGTGCATCCCAATACTGGGTAAAGCAACCTAGAAACTTTCCAGAACTGTGCTACTCAAGAGCGATGAATTTGCACGTGCTTTCTCACGTGCAAAAAGCAATTAAAGTATTGCTAGGACTCTATCTTTAATCACTTGTAAAGCAGAAATGGTTCTAAGATCTACCTGTGATAGTGACAGCAGAACTATACATTTATGGGAAAAATGCACTGAAGGAGAGTGTGAGAAAAAATATAGCACTAATGGACTAGGTTTAACTCTGAGATTACTGAGATTATGGCATGATAAAAGAACATTTAAAGCCGTTCGACTTTCAGGCATAACTACAGACACCACATTAGGATCCTGTATCTCCAGGCTTCAAAGGGGAAAGCTCTGCTGAGCTGGTCAGTTAGGCCCCAATAGCTTCCTTACCTTTGATCTGAGCGGGCCAGTCTATCTCCAGGCCAACAGATCTAAAGGCATTATAAAGCTAACAAAAACAATTATCCACTTTTAAATACACACAGTTAATTCTGTAGAGAATGATGCTGTTATTTACTCTATAAAATCTCTACATTCGGGTTTGGCAGTTTTTCACACAGTATGGTGGTACAGATCTACACACTCACTACTCGGGCCAAGATGAGCCCAGTCACCATCACACATTGTTAGAAGTTTCTCTGATGTTCACATCACTGGTCTGATCTACTTCACTTAAAAGAAACTGCCTTTTTACATCCTTTAGAGCAAACACATTTCACATTTCACTTAACTCTCATGAAAAACTGCTGAAAGAATGAGAAGAGGATGAGATTATAGAAAACTAAAGCAGTAAGGAGAAACTGAGGATGCTCCTTGGCTGAGACACTATTATCACAGAAGAGGTAACAAGGCTGAAGAGAGGTAACTTCTTTTTTTCTGGTTACAGCAGTCTTTGCAACCACCAGTCTGTGCCCTCAGAGGTGTGCTTGTCAGAGCACGGGTGGAGTGTCACATACCGGTTAGAGTACTGGGTAGAAAAAGCAGCAAAAATAAAATAAACTCAGTCCCTCTGCATAAGAAAGACCTAAATTAGAGTCCAGCTACTTTATAGCCTAGCTTAGTGACAACACAATTATAAGACTTTGTACATTCTTAATGTAAATGGATTAACTCCTTGGATTATTCCTAGATTTTACCCAACCACAGCAAATTGTAAGCTAGCAGCATGGAGGTAGCTATCCTGGCACAAAATCCCAGAGCAGATGGCTATACGTACCACTTTGGCCATCCACTCTGCTATATACAGGGTGCATATTATATATTTCCCAAAAACCTAAGTAATAACAGAAGTTCTACATTTTTAGATTTGACATTCAAGAAATGACACCTCTTTAGAGTAACCTGTAAACTCAATAACTGTGTTGAACAGGTCTCGAAGACTGTAAATTATTGTATTTCTTCCCTCAATGAACATTTATCACTGAAATCTGCACACAATTCCCAACTGATTTCTTAACAATCACTTTTCACAATGAAACGTCTCATACTGCGATCCAGAATAACACAGAATAACACTGTGTCTTACTCATTCACTGGCACCGTTTCATTTTTAAACTATAAAATTCTCCTTTACAAAATGCCTCTTTTTTGCTGGAGTTAAGTACTCTACCTCAACTTCTTTTTTATACTAAAATCTTGGCTGTATTTATGTTGGCTCTCAAGGACTCTCATATAAGAAACTGAAGAAACTGTGGGAGTGAGATGAAAATATTATATGTAACATATAAAGGAATATAAATATTCTTTTTCTTGGTTAAAAAAAAGTAGTTATTGCATCATGCTTTGATGAAAGCTCTGGAGACCCTGTGACGCAAGTAGGAACTAGGTACTATCCCACTGCAACTATAACTACTGAACATTTCCAATGTATGTGTAGCTTGTGGACCATAGGAAAAATCCCTGGCTAGGCTCAGGTCAGTAGTAAATAACATGGGCTTAATTCGCTCTAGCATTACAAGTAATGGCTTTTCCCACCAAAAAATTTGACTGAAAAAAAAAATGTCCGAAACTTGTAGCTAACATTTTCAGGCTTGAAGGCTGTACTTGATTACAGATGGACTATAAATCCCTCCGCTTGCTGGCAGCGCGCACGTTCTTTAAACGCAGTGAAACTGCACAGGGATCAGCTACTCACCATGCGAATACTTACAGAAAAAGGAGAATTCCCGTGTTGGCCAAGGCAAAAGCAAGACCCAAAATCCCACTGCCCATAATTGCATTGCTGAGGTTGAAGACAGACATCCCCAGCGAAGTCGTTCCTGGGATCTGGAGAAGTAAAGACCGACGTGTCAGCAACAGCTTGGAACGGAGCAGGGAAATGCACCTATGCTTCAAACTCCATGTTTTGTGATATATCAGATATAAGTAACTACTGCTATGGAAACAACTTAAAAATTGTTTTAAAGAGGAAAAAGGGTTGCTGAACCCTGTCACAGCTACACTCTGATCGTTGTCCTATAGATTTTGTAAACTGACGTAAATGGTATCAGCAACACACAACTCATACTACACTTTCAATTTTAAACCCCATCTTTCACTATGCCTGTGAAACATCTTACGCACATGATTTATATATTGTAAGGCCATAAGGAACCACCAGGACATCCTGCCTAACACAGGCCAGAGGGAACCCCTTGCCTCAACCCGACCAAAATGCTTGGGGTTTTTGGTTTTGTTTTTTTTTTAAGTGCTGAGCACAGGCAGTTCCTACCGGAACCTGAATTTCAGTTATAATTGTGTGTGTCCAGCACTTTTGAAGACCATGTCTAAAAGCCCTTCATATGCACAACACATAGTTCATTTTGACAGGGAAAAGAACAGCAAGAGAGACTTACATATTCATCGCATTTCTTCTTCTCCAGGTGGCTGTTTGTGAGACTTCTTCTGCTTTCTCGATCCGAAATAAACTTGCTGAAAAGAAGTCAGAGGATTTATTTCCAGCGTTTAGAAAATGTGCACACATTAATTCCATGAGCAGCATGTGATTACAAAATATGCAATGTATGAAAACTGTATGCGAAAAGAGGTCAAACTCATAACTATTTAATGAGCCAGATTATGCTTCACTGATACCAGTGTACATTGGGCATTGATAAAGGTAACACTAGCACAAGCTCAGAGTAAATGTATATATACAGAATGGTCTTTTAGGATATTTAGTAAAGAAGCAGCACCAATTTTGTGGACTGGCAAGTAATTTGTTTGCACAGTCACTACGAGGAGATACTTCTCCGGGTGTCCTGCAGAGGTATGTGTGACTGGTACCCCCTGCTCCTGACCCCAGCTAATGTGGTTAGCATAACTAACGCCATTTTATGAGGCAAGCAGCCATTCTCTGTGACTGAGCGGGTCATGTATTCATTCCCTTTCCCTCATTATCAGGCCCTGAAGGTCCTGTGAACCAAGTAGACAAACCAAACAGATTTCTTCTTCCCCTCCCTATCGGCCTCAAGACTCCTGGGTGCCAGGCCGATTACTCCCTTCCTTGCCAGCCCAGAAGGTCCCAAGCACCCAGCCCTCCAGGTGGTGGCGATGACCCCACCACAGAGCAGGGAAGCCTAACGGCACCCAGAGCACTGTCCATAAAATCGAGCAGTTACAAGTCCTAAGTGGGGAACTTGGACCGGAGCTGCTGCTGGGCAGTGAGACCCGGGACCCCCGGTGGCCAGGGACACCCCCACCGTCCTCTGCTTCCTCCAAGGATTGAGGGAGTGACTCGTCTGCTTTTATATGATTTTTGAGTCTAGATTATGATTGTTACATTGATACAGCAAACCATGTATTAAGATTTGACCCAATCTACAGAGGGTTCAGGCGATTAGAAATTATAAGTTAAGTTGTATTATAAATTCTGTATTATGCTACTTATAGATTGCACTACATTGATTCTGCTTCTAGAAATCCCGTGCCATTCTAATAATAAATTCTGTGCTACACTAATCATAATATCCTGTTAAGAAAATAAAGCTTTAATTGTAACTACAATCTAGTGCTGTCATTATTCTGCCAAGGATCCCTAAAAGACCCTGTCTGTCCCCTCAGCGTTGGATGATACTGTGGCACCCTGTGAAACCCTAAATTGCCACCATAGGGTTGGTATGGCTGGAGTTAAGAGGAGGAAGAGGTGCTGCATGCAGCCAGCACTGCCCGGACCATCCTCAACCGGGCAACACGCTCTGTTGGTGCACTGCTCTGGGCTACTGGATTTTTTCACTTGTGTCTTTCAAAACTCAATACTGAATTCAGCATACTGCAAAATTAAAAACTTCTGTGCAGGGAAACATGGAATAAACAGCTTTTCGTTCTCTGCACCCTTTACTTGTTCTGTGTCCTTGATATACCCACATTTAGGAACTTACTGTCACCAGAACAAGATTTGCCTCCTGCGGTTGTGTCGGTATCCTTGGGATTTACGACACTTCTGATTTGGATGAGCTGTTAGTTTCTCCCAGACCCTTTCTTCAGCAAACATTTTAGTTTATATAAAGCATTCTTTCAGCTTTTCATCTTTTGCAGGTTTATGCACAATTAAGCCCCTGGCATCTTCATTAATCCACAGATGGTTCTTAGGCTGCACTGGCTAATGCGTCAGCCATCGTACGTGTTACATACCTAACCAGGGGCTGTCACCAAGTGTCAGAGACCCTTTTTGCTGCGGGTAAATTAAGGTGATTCTTTCTTAAGTTAAAACAGACAAACAGTATGCTGAACACAAAGAGCAGCACCGCTGGTCCTTTCCCACAGCTGGGAACATCTGCTGGCTGGCGATGTATAGTTCAAACTGTGACTCAAGACTGTGCATCATTTGAGTACATCCAAAGGTATTCAGGCTGGTAATATAACCGTGAACTCATAAAGACAGAGCTGTATCAAACTTCCGTACTACCCCGGTTGTGGCCTAATTACTAGCAATATATGCTAGCACAGCTTCTAAGTCTATGCCAGAATCATGTAGCTGTAATGCTGCTGACTTGGATTCCACAGCTGACACACTGGGCCCTGTGACCTTAACATTCTGTGTACTACATACATGTTTTGTGTTTATCCCTTAAATCTGGGCAGAGCTGGCAAAAGGTATGTAGTATTTTTGCTGGTTTTGTTGCAACTTTGACTCCTACCCATTGGTCTGCTTTGACTTCCTTTTTATCAATAAAAAACAACTATAGGCTTCTCCTCTATGTTTTAAACTACTAACTTCAGCAACCAATTTGCTGCAAAATACAGCCACTGTGCCAGGTTTACCAGCCCTAACGCAGTTGGAATAGATGGCTGAACCTCCCTCACTGTTTTAAGAAGTGAAAAGCAACCACTTCTAAGACAGACTGATCCAAAATTAACTTTCCAAAGCTCACTGTCTAGGTATTTCATCCTCATGGAATAAAATCTCAACCTGATTCAGAGCGTGTGCTTTTTTTTTTCATGTCTGTTTAAAGCCCATCTCTTGAACACAAGCAGCAGAGTGTGAATGGTTTGAAAAAGACATTCCAGCTCTCTCTCGAAACACCCCGCGGGCATTTTATACAGGCAAGAGCACAGAGAAGAGTTTTGTCTCTTTTGGATTTGTAAGTGCTGCTGGGAACATCTGTGGACTTTGCCTTCTTCTGTCATTTATGGAGATCATGTGTCATTTTAGATTTTGTCAGAGTTATGATAGAAGTAACTAGTCTGCTCCCCCCACTTCTCCTCATCCCTCTGCAGCCAGTCCCCCCTTAATAATGACAAAAATAACAAATTTATAGATACTATTATTATTGCCACCTGGTATTGAAGTTCAATGAAAATTATTGTTAAAGAACTAACACATGATAAAGACAATACTTGAGTAATATTGCTTGAATATAAAGGGACCGTGGCACTTCCCATTAGAATACTTTTGACAGAGTAAACAGCTTCTGCAGAGCTGTTACCTTCTGTGGCCAACAAACACATTATTTCCTTCTGGACGCGACTTTTAAGAAAACTACTCCGATTTGATAAATCGATCCAAAGTACTTTCTTTTGAGTTAGTCCTACATTAAAATGGACTGGGCTTGTTGTCCAGCCTCTCATCTCCTATTATAAGCTGGGATCCTCATCCACCCCACGTTTACCATGTCACACTGCACATTTTTCTCCATTTATGCTGTGTGATGTGTACAGGAGGGCAAAGTCAGAGACGGGAATGTGGCCACCGGCCTCCCATATCACACCTTCCATGAGGTACACAGCATTGCGCCCAGCTTTTTTACGGGGGCCTCCCAGCCCCAGGACGGCTTGCCCAGAAAGCTCAGCAGCGATGCAGTGGTGGGGGACATGGGGTCCGCATGATCCGGAGGCTGTGCGGCATTTGCTATTGCAGGCAACTTAACCTGCAAGTCCAGACAAGAAGGTTGCCTCGGGACCGTGCTCGGTAGGTGGTACAGACGTACCGTATGACAGCCTAAGTTTTCCATAAATGGAATGTATTGGTAGAGGGGGGGGGGGGGGGGGGGAAGGATGGGGAAGGAAATCCAATGGATTCAACAGAAACAGATTTTCCCAAGATTTTGCTTTTTATAAACATTTTTTTCATTTCAGGGTGTTTTTTCTTCCCCTACAGCATATGAAAGGGAACATATCTTTGAATACTGGAATTTCTAGTTAAACCGTGACATCCATCTGCTCTGCTTAATAGGTGTGCTTAGAAAACGAGCTATTCATTGTCACAGAATGTTGTATATTTGACCTTTATAAATATGACACGAATGAAGTGAAACGACTGTTTACTCCAGCCTCTCCCAGCCCTCCCAAGGACTAGAGGCCACTGTGAGAGCTGCTGTGGAAGTGCGCAGTAGGACCGTCTGTGCCATCAAAGCCTTGTGACTCCCGGACAAGCAAGAAATCCATTTGCGCTGTTTGTTGTCTTCATTTCAAACGCTTTACTCATGATTAAAAGACATAACCTATTCTTATATGTTTCTGCTTTCCTGTTGTGCTTCCTACATCACAGCTGAGTATGAGCAGCTTATACAAAACTTTTCAGATATGTTAATAAAAAATCCTGGCCAAAAACTAATCGGCTGATCCTTGCGATACATGAAGCCTCAAGGTTGGCTTGGAAAGAATTTCTTCATCTAATTCTTTTCCTGGTTTGATTTAGTGCAAAGTAGAAACTTAGTTTTATTGATGAAGTGGTTTTAAAAGGACCATGTTTAACTATGGTTTCCAAATTTAATTTATTAAAGAACTTAAATGAGAAATCTTTGATTAAGGTGATATCCCTGAGCTAACCATTTTGGCTAAGAAGAGATAGCCAAAAACCATTTAGCCATCTCAGATATGTTTAAACATAATTAAATTAAAGTGATATTTGACAATGCCTTAAACATTTGTTAGAGAAAGCCGGCTTTGCCAAGATGACAGAACTCTATCCTTAGGCAGCTTCTTAAACTGAGCTCTAGCTTGAGCAACGGCAAAGATTTCCAGGGCAGGCAGGAACAAGAAATGCAGAAGAAACCTTGGTCTGGCTTACACTATGAAACTTGGACCAGACCTGGGTATACCTACTAACAACCTTGTTAACTGAACAAGGGGTGCTGATAACTTACTAGTAGCTGTAAACCAAGACAGACATTCAGCCAGCAGCTTCCCGAGAGCATCGTTGTAGTTACAGATAAGCTGTAGGTCACCTAAATACTGGTTTACAGTTATGTGCAGAGATGGCAAAGTTTTAGAGGCAGGATACACGGTTAAAAGACACCAAATCCATGTCTGGATTTGATGCAAGTCTCTTTATTGACGTTCCCAGAAGAAATTCAACATCTGCATACAAAGAAAAACCCCTCCCAGTACAGCCCCTTCCAAACAACATCCCCTCCCTACATACAACTCCCTACATACAGCCCAGAAAAGGCTGGAAATCCAAAGGGAACTAGAGAATTATTTTCCAACATCAAGAAATATTTGGAGTTTACAACCAGACCTGGAATAAGCTTCTCCCTGGTGTACCTTCTCCAAAAGACCCTTAAAAACTCTGCTATACATTGAGCTTGAAAAATTATGCATTGGAAGAAAAAAAAGTTTGAAATGAAATACAGAGTGCAGGTTTCAACCACCAGGTTGAAACAAGAAAAAAAATTTAGTTGAAAATTACAGATCTAATCTAAAGCTCAAGTGAAATCAACAGAAAAAGTCCCACTGATTTTGATGGACTTTGGAGTTTCACAAGACCTTGCACTGTGTGCCAGGCAGCACAAAATTATTTCTTCCATATGCCCGTTAACCTCTTATTCCACGGAGACAGGACATTTGCCAAAATAGTCATAAAGGGCAATAACCACATCCTTTCAGGATGCGTTTGGCACGGGGTACAGAGCAGGGTCTGCCCACCGGCTCGTCGCCCATGTCGGTGTGGAGGTGCTTGCCAAAGCCAGTGGCCACGGGTGGCTCAGCCACAGCCCCAGGGGACGCCGACGGGGCTGCGCCAGTGCCAATGTGCTGCTGTGCTGGAAGCTGCCGTCAGCGCCAGCTGCCTTGAAACTCTTGTATTAGCTGTGGAGGGGAACATGAACACACCAGGATATATAGGGAAGAATACTCGTGTATGGGATGCATGAGTAAGTAGCTATCCCGCAACCACCCCAGCAGCGGGATAAGACAATTGCAATGGGCTACATCCTACAAGCAAATGATGCTCTGCAGAGGAAAAAAGATACCCAGAAGGGAACGGAAAACTGTGGAATATGTTCATCTGCCCTCAGAGCCAGAACAGCAATCAGAAATTCTGTCTCTGAGTTTCTGATGCTCTTTCCTCACTCCACTTTTCTTCTTCCCTTTGCAGGCAGTCTGGATCCGACCCAGACCTCGCCACACTTACTACGCCCTTACTCGACAAAGCACATCGTGACCGCTGAGGATCAGGCACATACGGCACGCTCCTTCCCCACCCTCCATAAACATTCACTGAAAGATGAAGCGCTAGCAGGGTTTCTCCCCGTAAGAGTTACTGGTGGAAAGCGCTGGGGAGGCGCAGCCAGCCCAGTACAGCCCTTCTCCTCTCAAGGATATAAATCCTCGGCAGGCTCCAGGGAGCAAATTTACCACTGTCAGCCCCTGAGCTCCTCGCCTTACGAAGTGAGCCAGCAGGAAAGCAAGCAGGTTCATACTGGAACTGTTTTGTTTTGGCAAAGTTGGAGGGGTTTTTTTCCTTGCTCTTGCCTTTTTTTTAGCTTTTTTTTTTTTTTTTTACCGGAGTGGTTTACGTTCCGTTTTGGCACTTTCCATCAAAGCAGTTGCATCAGAAAATTCCTGACCAGCTCTAATCTTCATCAGTGCAGCTGCGCTGCGGTCGCACCGCTACACAGCGCAGCTGGCGACCGCCCCAGGACTTCCCCGGGGCAGGCGGCGGGGCGGGGGGGCAGGGGGCTCACCCACACTGCCAGCCAGGGCCCCCTGCTTGGTCCCGGGCTCTGGCCAGCTGGTTTTGCTGCGTGCATGGTATGGCCGACAGCGGGTGCTTATCTCCGCCGCCAAGCTCCCTGTCCACCCGCACAGCCACGAGAGCCACACGACTCTACCCTCGCCTGGGAAAAACCAGCTCTGAATTTTGTTTTTACACTAGGAAGTGAGTTTCTCTGGGTAGCCAGGGAAGCTGCTGCCAAAAGGAAGAAAGGGCAAGAGAAGAGGTTTTTAAAGACCATAAACACAGGCGCCAGCAGCCCAGCAGTAAAGGAGCAGGATGATGTGCCGGCAGAGGCTTCCCAGCAGCACCAGTGCCGGGCAGGGCTGGATCCCCGTGCAGGCACTGCCCGGCCGGCGTGCTCCACCTCGGTTTGCAATATTTGAACAGGAAGTTTGATCAAAAAACAGCTCCTTGTTTTACAGCTCACAAAACCCAAAGAGCATCCGTCAGCAGGTCTTTGCTGTAAACAGGACAGCTCAGCACCTGTTGGAGGCTGGTAGGAGGGCCTGAAGCACCGCTCCCCGGTGGAACAGTGGCCTAGCTCTTTGAAATGACTGCACAGCTTATAGGAAAAGTCTACAGCCTAATTTAAACAAATGAAATTATTTTCATCAATATTGATAAATAGATGCATTTTTCAAACTTGACCTGAGTTAGGTATACGTCTCTATTTTACCAGCTTCTTGCCATCCTTGCTTCAGGGGATGACAGCCGCTGCCCAGTTTACCTTGCTGAATTGTGAACGCGGACCGGGACTACATTTGCTGCCAGCAACACCAGCTGTAAATCTCCAGGAGTTTGGGTGCATGGAAGTGGCCAGGTAGGTTAAAATTGTCATATCAGAGAGCAAAGGTCAACAAAGCGATTTGCCCCAAATTATGCCGTTGGTCTAATTGTATCAATTATTATTACTTCTTTGCTGTGTGCAAGCAGACATTTAAAAATGTTGGCTTTTTGCTACATTATAAGTTTGTGCATTTTATTAGACTAATTTGAAAGATTCAAAACGATGAATAAATTGCCACTGTTTGCTTTATCTGCTGTTGCAGCCTATGCCCAACAGATGTCACATATGAAATTCAAATTACATCTTCAAATGGAGCATGACTTGGTAATGAATAATTCAAGACATATACTGAAAATTAGAATGCTGTTTTTAAACGGTGTGTTTCTTAGCACAGGCAGCGTCAGTGGAAAAATACTCACCTATTTATCTGGCCATTTTCCACCTCTGTGAAATCATTTGAATCATTGCTGATGTTATCATCTTCAGGGACAGTCATATTCTGCAATTCAGTCAGTTCTAATCCAGCTTTGAAGGGCATCCTGGGTGAGGAACTGTACGTATCCAAGTGTTTCTCCAAATATTAGTGATGGTTGGTATCTCGTGAGTAAACTGCAGCTACAGTGTCAGCAACCTAAATAAAACACAAGAAAAAAAACCCAAGATGTATACCACCAACAGCAGGCAATATCACCAGAAGAAACCAGTGAAACCTGGGCAAGAGGGACCGTCCTTACCAACCAATTTTGTATTGTTAGAAGGACCTCAGTTTATAACCTAAATGCATTGCAGAACAGTAGTAACCTTATACGCCTTAATGAGATCAACTAACCTTACAAATTTACTCGGTCCTGCAACCAACTGCTGAATGCAGTACTTGTATTTATAAACTAGTGAGCAAACCAATCCTATTTGTTTCAGGAAAAAAGATTAACCACCTACAAATTAAGGAATAAAAACAATTTGCTTGTCCAAGTCCCATTTCGATATTCGGTGTTCACCTTCTGTATGTTCTCCATGTTGCCTCTTACTTAAAAATATAAAATATCTTGTGTCCGTGCCGTTGCTAAGTGGATGGAACAGAGGGATAGTTATCCCTGTACTCTGTTCTACTAATATCTGTATCCCAGGTATTTGAATATGTTAAGGTTTTTTGGTAAAGAGGATGTGCAGAGGATGCTTTGTGTATGGTTAAACTTATTTTGAACAAGGACAGAAACAGACAAAAACAAATCCCTAAGCTCAATTATCATAGTAAGAAAGAGTAATGTATGTCTTGTGTCAAGCAGTTATTATCTAGAGATCAGGTGACCTCTCCTCTGATAGATGTGTTGCTTAAAAGCACCAAGAATAACACCAAAGGCAGATCAGACAAGTCTGCTACAGTGACATATTTCCTCATCAGCAATGCAAATCAACTGAAAGACCAATATTTTCCAGAGTCTGACCACTCTCGGCTGAGCTACAACTCCAGTGTGGTGCTGAGGCAACAGGATGTTATTCACAAACAAGCTCCTGCACCACAACTCTCTCAATTCCCATTTTGTGAATGAATTTCCTGCAGTATTGCCAAACAACGATTCACCCTGGGGTACGTGGTCAACGCTCAGCTGCCAGATTAATTTGGGGATATTTTAAAATTCTCAGGGCTACCTCAAAACCATCGAACTGCTCTCATGCAACCAAAGAAACAGGGGCATCCCCAGCTCTTGCAGGGCACTATGTTGAGGCAGGAAGACATAGTTCACTTGTTCAGCTATGACATCTGCCTGTTTCAAACTAAGTTTACAGGACCCAATACTTCTGGTTTATGCCACATCCCCACCATGCAGAAAAGGGCTTTGCAAATGAGCATTTTTTCCCTGTAAATACTTTCTCAGAACTGTAATTTTATCTTGAAGTTTACATGTGCTCTTAGCATTTCCTCAAGAGCCCAAACTGTCCAAATTTCAGGTGCAAAGTTTAAAGGCGAGCCTCGAGGCTTACAGTAGGGCAGGATCTGCTCTTTTCTACTGAAGGAACAACCAAGTACGTGGTTACGGTGGCAGACAGGGCCTGGTACGGCCTGGTGCGAGAATGGCAGGGGGATGTGAGCTGGGTCCTTTTCAACTCCTCTACAGAGGAGATCTCCACTACAGATAGCAGGGGAGCAACCGCTCGGGTATTATAATGTTGGCACAATAAAAAAAAAAAAATGGATTTAGGCTGCTGATAAATAAATGCAGACTGGCAAGCAGAGGGTGGTTTTAGCAGTGATGTTCTGGAACAGTCTTCCCAGAGGCTGCGGGGATAAAATAGTCTACCTATTTTGGAAGAGAAGCATGATCTTTTTATAAAAGAATAAAGCCACAGGAGATGGTGACTGCTGAGGTGGCAAGGACCGAGCCCGCTGAATCCTGAAGCTTCTTGTGACCATGAGTTCCTAAAATAAACAATTCCTTAATAGACGTCACAACCTCTGTATCGAGATCTGTATCCCCTGGCATTTAAAAACCCGTGTAAAGGTTCATCTAAGATTCAAGCAAAGCAGCTTTCCCTTTGGGTGCCGTTTTGCATCATGGTCCCCCAGGAAGATTTTCAGAACTGCCTTGACGTTGCCTGTGCTTAATAAATTCCCCATTAAGTGTTTCAAAAGCAGGTGCCGAAATTAGCACTCCTGTGAGGTAAACAGGAGTTTACTGCTGTGGAGAGCAGACTTCACAGCTCACTGATGTGCAACTCCTGCTTTGTCGTTCTGCTCCTCGGTAGCTGAAATGCTGCAAGGCCGGACTGGCAGGAAAACAGCTCGCTGGTTTATTCGCAAGGAATCTTTGCAGTGCAAACAACCTTTTTTTTTTGTTTTAACCAAAATTCTGATTCTACGAAAAATTGATTGAAGACGCAGCAAAACCTTAGTGCAAGCAGTGCCAGCTGAAGCACCAGCAATCATTTCAGCAGATTCCAGGTTTCAGGCAGACGAGTTGCTTCTGAAGGAGCATGACAGCAGGCATATCTTCGAATCTGCCTCGGGTTCTTGCTAGGTTAAGTGATTTACTAAAAAAGACACCAAAACAAACCCCTGAAACCAAAAAATTGTTGAGTGAAATAATGCATTGCACTTCCAAGTAGGAGAAAACCTGATCTCAGCGCCAAAACACAAGGAGGGTGAAGAGAGAGCGGTGGGGCTGGCGACCGAAACTTTCACTGTCACAGCACGAACTCATCGCAAATCTTTGGCAAAGGATAACCACCTCGTCCTTAGCACCTCCATCTGTAAAATTAAGATGGTAATAGTGACAATAACACTCAGTTTGTGAAGTGCTTGCAGATTCAGAGGAAAAGGGTGATAGAAGTGTGATACCTGGGAAAAAAACACTATGCAAATTGCAAATTTTTTGCAAAGATAACTTTACCCTAGATATATACAGAGCAAACCTTTTGTCATTGCTAATCACTCTAGGCACCCTCCACAGTCAGTGGAGTACAGGTGGTCACATGAATTTCACCCCCAAATCGCCTATTTTAAATTTCAAGCTCACGGATGTGACACATCGCAGAGCCTAAATAAAATCTACGGTCCCTAAGGGTAGGCTTCACATCAACCAGCTTTATTCCCTACAAGTCGAGTGTCTGCCCCAGGGTCGTCACTTGGGCTCTACGGCAGAGCCTGGCGCTGCCAGAGGACAATCCGTCCCGGCCCACGGGAGAGGTCTGCAGCCACGCTGAGCTGCTCTCTGCAAACGCAGTAGCTTTGCTCCCAAAGGGAGCTTCGACACTGGGATAGCCAAACTAAGCAAGTCGCCACCTCAGGTGTAGGTGCCACTAATGCTGTGGGAAGAAAAAAAAAGAATTGCTTTGACTAATAAAAATTCACCATATGTTGATGCTGAGCTACTGGAAGCAGGATGGTAACATTTTTACTTTTAAGGCCTTTTCATTCAAGAAATGTCATTAAATAAATGCGAATAAAAATGCCATGTTGGCAAAAGTTCCTTGACAGAGCTTTATTCTTAATTCACATTGAAAGGTAGTAAATAATCATCTGAAGAGTGACTGTAGCAATCCCAATCACTTCCAGTCACTCTACCCAGCCTTAAACCTCTCAAAAAGAAAACTTCCAGAGACCTGCCATCAAACCTCTCTCTCCAAGTACACAAACAGTAAATCAACAAGAAGAAATAAGAATTTCACCCTTACTTCAAACTTCTCTACTTGGATGGGCAAACACTCCTCCTTGAAGCAGGAATCACCCTGAGAGAAAACCAGGAAAGAGCTAATGACCCTTCTAAAGGAACCTCAAAGGTCTGTGTTTGGTAGCTGATCTAGCCCCTCCGTTTAGTAGAAAAAGCACTGCTCTGGCCTAGGAGCTCGGCTTTCTCTTTAAACATCCCACGACATGGTCTTGTAAAACCCATTATGGATAATTTATTCCTCGTGTGCTCCTTGCAGAGTATGGGAAAGATTACAACTGGTCACAGACTTCAGAAGGAGGACTGTGAGATGACACAAGAAGATAAAATGAGTTTATTTTTCTCAAGGACACTGAGACCTTCACAAGCCATTAAAACACATTCCAAGAACTGGGGAAATTTTCTGTTGCCTTCTGAAACAAAAAACCAAAAAAACCAAACCAAAACAAAACCCTGCAACTCCAGTTTTCTGGACTGTTAAAATTCCACAACAGCAGTAATGGGCTCAAAAAGTCTGTATTTGAAAAAATATGGTAATACAGACAGTCTAACTTTATTGCTTCTGCTGGCTCAAGCATGAATCCTTTCTGGGCAGTACCTGGAAGAGGTGTAATCTCAGAAAACACTTCACTAGAAGTTGTATTTTTAATAGTAACATCATCACTCCTGGTGTTAATGGCTTAACTCACAGGCCATTTTTTTTCATATCCTGTAAATGACATCATTCAAAAAGTGCCATCTTAAGACACATGGCTGCCCAAAAGCTGAACCACTGTGCAAGAGGCGTTTAGGTAAGTGGTCAGGTTGGACAACATCTCGCCTGGCTCTGGGTATGGTTTTTGGCATGTGCCCTTGTACACTCACCGGGCACTTCATTCACTGAGCGCTACCCGCAGTCAAATGGTCTTGGGGATGGCAAATATCCAAGATATGCTAAGCAATTTTAACTATGGAATTCAAGATAATTTGCTTAAATGCTGAAATATGACTCAACTTTCTTCTCAAAGGGAGTTTTGCCAAGAACTCCTCTTGGTTCGTTATGAGTCATCAGAATCCAGCACTTGAGTTTCTCACAGCTGGTTTTATTCCTGCAAAGCCTGAGATGTGATATGTCTTTCTTTGCTCATACTTTTGAAAGTTCTTTCAAAGAAGAGCAATATGACCAATAAGACTCCATGGATATAAATAATGAAACACTGAGCCTGAAACTCTGTGTACGGACTGTTCACTTAAATGACAAAAAGCAGTAATAGGCTTTATACGTAACAGTATCACGTTGGGAGGCGGGGAAGCAACTATCTCCTTTTTGTTCAGCATTAATGACACCTGACATGTGGAACATAAATCTCCCAATTTACTCCTCACCTACAGGAAGGACAAAATGGAGAGATTAGGGAAGAGCCACC